ATTTATCAGCACACCTGTAGAAAATGAAAATAAGCTGAAATCCAGCTTACACATAGATTTTGGAATTAATGATCGTCTTCTTTGTTCTTTTTTTTGTCCGACATAAATTAACGAGTGAACCACATGCTCCTCGTACTCGTTCGTCATAACTCGAGTCGGAAATTGAACGAAAATTTGAATGAGATTGCCTAATTGCATTTGCTCGTTCCACATAAAATCATGAGTGCTACCCGTTGGAGATTTTCATTGAAGGCATTCTGGGTGGCGAATATTTATCTATAAGTTTAGTTTGAAATGACAGAAAGAAATAGATCCTGAACGATCTTGGCAGGAAAATTTTGAAGATCCGTAAAGATCTTGGCAAGAAAATTAAAGATCTTGGAAAGAAAATAAAAGACCCCTGAAGATCTTGACAAGAAAATGAAAGATCCTTGAAGATTTTGAACATTTATTTTTTATCTCACACATTTCTTTATAATTGTTTCTTGGCCAAGGCCTGGAGAGGTCAAGTATGATCGATATCTCGGATTACTGGTAATGGAAAACTACCTTGTTGTCTCAAATAGAGTGAATTAATACTTAGAAACGAAATTACCATCAGAAAAGCAAGAAGAAGGAGGCAGTAGGGGAGGGGGTGTGCAGATTTTTGGGATATGTATATTTCTTTTTATTTTGCTTCCCTGACCTAGTCTACTGATTACAAATTTTATTTCGCCAATTAAATTCCATTTTGCCAAATTAAACTTCGCTTCATCGCGTGTCATTTCCTTGTAAACAACCTGCATTTAATCACGTATTCTAATCGCAATGTCCAACCCCACTGGAAAAAAATTCACACTAACTGCTACCGATAGTGAACTTTTAACGCAATTCTCCCGCGTTTTGACTTTTTCTACGAATAAACTCGGCTTTTAACTACCTTGAACTGAATCCAATCGCATGTTTATTCCTTGTAAACAACCTGCATTTTATAAAGTATTTCACACACAGTGGGCAAAGTCCAGATAGGAAACAACCAATCAAGGAGCCCTCTCTCAAATATTATCCTTTTCTCTTGTGAAATGTATCTTCATTGGTCGAGATCGCAATATATCTTTGGTTAGAGTCTATTGGAGATACAACAGAGTTTCAGTTTAATATTCGTAATAGAATTACATGGAATTATATTTTTCAGGCATCTAACTGTAGACGAATAATTTTGATTTTCTCTCTGGTAGAGGAACGGCAGTAAGCGTGGTCTCTTTCGCAACTATTATTTGGTCTCATCCCGCTACGCGCTCTCTCTCCGTCGGGGAATAGATGGCGTTGTGTGACAAGACCAAACAACTGCTGCGAAGGAGAAAACAGTAGGCGTGGCACCAATCCATTTTATTTTTGCTTAGATGTATTTAGACAATAGAGAAAATAGACCACAAGATACCTGTGTGAGTTAAGCTAAATTATGTTTTTTCTCTCTTTCTCTTAAGGTGAAGTAATGCAATATTTTCGATCTTTTATAAACTTATGCTCTTTTTCTGTTACAAAAATAAAAACATTAGGTACACAAAGTGTCCCATCTCATCCCACCCGGTCAAAAAAAATAAATCTTGCATGCTACGCATGCCTATGTTTTTACTTGGAAGCCAGAAAATTCCCAATAAACTAGTTTAGTGCAAGTGACATTAATGCATGAGTATCACCTTGCTTTCGTGAGCTGTACTGAGAAATATTGGCACTTTGACATTTCTATACTGCCGTAACCTTGGGCCAATATTCCTAGTAAAGACTCGTGCTCGAATGGTTAGTAAGAAGTTAGTACTGGCTTTCGAAAATGTGATCTACACTGTACATGTATCTAAGGCTATTTTGAATTCCAGAACAATTGATTTCCTTGTGCCTCTACATTTCTTGAAATTTTTTGTACGTGAAGACAGCCAGCAAGGATTTTATGATATTTGAAAAACATCTAGTCTGGATTATCAGGATAGTTAAAGTTAGCATCAAAGACAAATCAATTCTGAGCACAAAACAGAGTAAACATGAAATGATTGCAAAAACAATTAGTTTAATATACATATACTGGTAAACCACAAACATCAGCGCCTGTACCAAATTGAAATCCATATCAACATACATCAGCATGCATTAGTGTATATATTTCATTGTTTTTCCTGTCATAAGTGTCCAGTTGAACTAACAGCCAGCTGCACACATATGGATGTCGGTTCAACTGGAGGAAATTGAATAAAAAAACTTACACATTTTGTAAGTTTTGACCAGTAATCCCTATTTAAAAATCAGCTAAGAGAATTTTACTTTGGTTTTGCAAAAGTTGTTTCTTATGAGAAAGGATTCACGATAAACTCTCCCCTCTTTGGGAGACATGGTGGCCTTATAATTAGTGAGGTGGAGTCAGGGTCAAGAGATCTGCATTTGTAACCTGGCCAGGTCATGTGTTTTGTTTTTGTGCAAAATAATTTACTCTCATAGTACCCCTCTCCACCCAGGAGTATAAATGGGTACCAGAAATTAGTCAGGGGAACCTGATGAAATGACAGGAGGGAAGAGGGAGGGGGGGTAACCATGGGGTGGACTGTCATCATATCCAGGGGGGAGTAGTAATACCTAGTCGCTTCATGTGAGGAATCCAGGATTATAAGCTCAGGGCCTGGATGGGCCACTGCTTAAATACAGACTTTACCTAACTACCTATTACAGCCTTTGGTTTAAATAACTTCAATTGCTTCTGTTACGAATTATACGAACTTGCAACATACAGATGATGATTTTTTGCCCAATTTATCTCAGTCAATTAGGACTGTCTTTTGTAAATCTTTAAATTTTCAAAAATCCAGACAGAGGCGGAGTTTTCTATGCCAATGTCTGAGCACTTTGTAAGCTTCCCGCAATCTGGCGGGACGCGTAATTAAGCACACAGTGGTAAAGGGCCCTTCCGCAGTAGCTACAAGACTACTGACATCTTAGGGACGGACCATTAGATTTTTGATGCGGGGGAGGGGGGAGGGTGTTGGGCAATAACCCCCGAAAAATCGAGCACCGGCTAGCGGCTCAATGGAAGAAGACAAATCGTGCAATTGGTAAAAGACCCCCCGCATCAAAAATCTAATGGTCCGTCAATAAGGTACCTTTTACATTATTCCAAAATGGGTTTCACTCCGGAATGAAATGAATTTCATGCCGCGTTTACATGCAAGATAATTTAGATTATAAAAACAAGTAATAAAAACAAGTATTTACGTCCTTTTTCTATGCTTCCCTCGCTCCTAAAGAGGATTCATACAGATATGAGTGTCGTAACGCGTTTACTTTACACTGGTACAAAAGGTCGTCCAGAATAAGTGTTTCGTTCTGGAATGAAAACCTCAATAAACTCATTCACAAATCACTTGTTTCGAATAATTTTACTCTGGTATCATGCGACAACCGGGATGAACTCGTTCTTGAACAAAACTCATTCCGAGGTCAAGTAAATTCGTTACATGAGGTCACACAACTCGGGTAATATTCAGAGTGAAAATTTGCATATTTGAGCGGTTCAACGAAAAACATCATTTCTCAAAAACTAAAATGTATTTTCACAAAAAAACTACACCACAATTATTAGGACATATTGGGCTACAAAATATGAAAGTAGGAGAGAAAACGAATTTGGGTGACTTGCCGCCGTTTGTCTGATGCATTTTGACATTAGCTCTTAATTGGCTTCTGATTTTGTGTCTATGTATCCCTCCCATTCTCAAAAGGGAAAAAATATTTGTTTTGCAACTGGGTAATATGTTGAGCTGATGTTTAGAACCATTTTCAATCACCTTTTTTTCAGGCCAGGATGACTTAAAAGAACAACTTTGTAAGAAGCATCAGTCTTCTAACAGTTGCTATGGCTACAGGAAGAAGTTCAATTAAAGTTCCATGTGAAAATGAAGACTTACCTGACAAAGAAAATACACCAAATTTTGACGAGGACACTTTACGAGGTGAGCTAGGTTCAACTTCGGCTTCAGTAATTGTTAGAACAATCTCTATTCGATCAGGATCAGTTTCAAGAATGCAAGCAGATGTGGAAAAGGATATATACACTGTATGGCCACTTTAAAGGATATTTGGTCAGTCATGACTCTCTTCTATGATTACAATATGCTGTTCATTGAGAAGATCTATGACACAGAAACTTTTGCTATTTTCTTTTCTAACAGTTCAAAGCAATAACACAAAGTTATAATAAGTTAAGACTTTATTTCATCATCGTATAACATCCATTGTGTAAGTTTGCATCATAGGTACCATCATCATCATCACCATCATCATCACCATCATCTTTCTATTTTAATGAAACGTAATCACTTTGAAACCTTCAACATTCGAAACCTTCAACGTTCCCTCCCTTCTCCTCGAGCAACCCACGGGCATTTGATCTTCATCCAAGCCAAAGAGGTGGGGGGGGGGGAGGGTTTCACCCTGCCTGACTGGCGTTAGGGAATTTGAATAAAACTGTCACATCTAATTTCCAGTAGAGTACAAGTGTTAATTATCATTGAATATGGAGGTGTTTAAGGTAGATACTGTACTTTCACTAACACATGGCTCAGAAGAAATAAGGCTTCAAGGTCTAGGTTTTAAAGCTTGGTTAATTAGTTTTTTAAAGCTTGATCAACTAGTTGAAAGTCAGATTGCCATTTATTTCGCCTTTTACATAAAATTGTGTGGGACATTTGAACATTTTATTAATTTTTCCCAGGGAATGGGAATTTTAGGAAACCTATCTCCAAAAATTTAAATGCCCAGGGATTTGCCTCAAGTTGAGTGATGCCTAACTCTCATCATTATTCTTACCCATGTTGTCACCTACATCATTGGCATCATCATAACTATTGAAAATCTGCAGATTTTAAATCTCCAGATCTTGGCAGCTCTGATTATACACTAATAATTATTAACTACGACCACAGACTTTGACACCTATTTTTAATTTTTTTTTCGAATTATTTTATTTTTTCTTTGCAGCCACAGCTGATGTTTATAGAAATGAGGGTAATGAGGCCTTCAAGAAAGGAGATTTCATCAATGCTATTCATTTTTACACCAAAGGAATTAAAATGAACTGCAATGAGAAAGAACTGAAGGCCAAACTGCACAACAACAGGGCTATTGCACATTCTAAACTTGGTAAGATGATGAGAGCTTTAATATGCATTTTTTTTTCTATTTTGAAGCTATTGAGTTGTCAGTAGTAGTTTTCTGAAAAAGGTGATAATTTTGAATGCATGCCCGGAAAAATTTACATCTTATCTTGGCCTCTCAAATATACAAAGAAGTAACCTCTTACCCCAGATATCAACGAGCATCACAAGTTTTTCTCAAAATTATAGTAATGGTAGTTGGTTTGCAACATGTATGGCTAATCAGAGATATTTATTTCAATAACAGGAAATCACCAGGATTCACTAAGGGATGCAGAAGCAGCCATTGAGTTAAATCCAACTTTCCTCAAGGCAATTGTGAGAGGTTAGATATGTTAGCTATACTTTAATAATAATAATAAAAAAAGAACTCAACACTCTAAGGTTAAATGAGGTTAAATAGAGTTCAATCTTGTCTCAATGGACTTTAATTAAGAGGTCGAGACCACCCTGATGTACATTTGAATCCAGCTCTTGACTGCTACGCCATTACTTCCATTAATCATGATGAGAATATTATTTTAAACGGGGTGAGGAACTCAATGCGGAATGCAAAGCAAAATTTCAGCATGAATATTTTAGTTCCTTAAGTCCAATGAGTCACAGGTGTCGGATATATTAAGAGCGTGTCCACGAGATCTCCGGGCGGTCGTGCTACATGCCATCTCACCGATTTTAATTAAACTTTGCCAGTTTAAAGGGTCTACCCCAAAACTCAAAACGACAAACTGGTTTCTGTTTTGGTTATTTTTCCGGGGGGAGATAGACCACCCCCGGTTTTTCTTGGTTTTCACCAAGGAAATCGCTTCAAATAGGTAAAATTTATGAAGCTCTCACTGCGATGGTATTTAACTGATCACTTTGAGAATTTGCACACATATTTTTACATCCTTATTTAATGTCTGCTGCGAGTATCAGTCAGTTTAATCAACGGCTTGTCAATCAACAGAGGCAAATATACGAGTGTGTTTTTAGACTTTTCGATTCATCTAAATATTTTACAACTTTGAGGTCAAATATCTCCCGTTGCCAGAAAGCTACAACACTAATCTTAATTACCCTTTATAACCCATCATTTCATCTCTGAAAATCATCAAAAAAATCTTTGGGCACTACCGTATTTTTGTCTTGGATGCCTTTTAAAATCTGCGACTGTAACAAGTTTCTCTCAACTACACCTGTCACGCAATTCTTGCTCTAGGCGGTCACTTGACAAAATAAACCTACATTTTTTAGCTCTTCATACAAGATGATTGATCAAGAAAGGTGAAAATTATAAAAACTTTCGAGAAAAACTTTCGAGATGCATGTAGACGAAAAATCAATGGGAAAATCGTAGCGTTTCTTTCTTCGGTCGTTTATTACTTTGAAGATTTGCTAAAATCAGCAGATATGGCTTTTGTACGGCACAAAACATTCATTAGTCTATAATTTGATTGTTTATCATCATCACTGCTCATTTTAGGAGATTTTAAAGTCACATGCTGCGTGTTGGCTGATATTACTACATGTTCCAGTGTGCTACAACTTCGGCTTTCACAGACGAGAAATTCTGCGCTCTCGCTCGAGAGCAAATATAAATTGTTCTATCGGACTAAAAACTGTGCTTCTATCCCGAAAATAAAATTAAAATAGTGTTGACGTTGTCACTTACCGCCATCGAACATTTACATACAGAACTCCGCTATGCTAACATCTGTTGTGTGACCCAAAGACTCTCCCTAGGAATTATTCAAGCGCGTTGTTCATGCTGTCTGCTAGATAACAATTTCAGAATAATCTGCAGATCTCTATGATTATTTACCTGCTTCGATCGTAAAATATCTGCATATTTTTTCAAGCATTCTATTACTACATATAAATCTACATCTCTCTAAATCGAGTGTTGCCGGCGTTTAGTTGCGTGACTTGTAAAATTTTTAAATAAGAATGAGCCAACAGTAATTTGACGAGTAGCCTTCCTGCAAATTTCCCTTGATGAAATCCCAAGACATAGCCAGTTGTTTTCGTGAGCAAAGACAATAAATATGAAAGGAAAGTGAGATGCGAATGTCTATTTTTTTTTTTAACTTAATAGCAGCTGTACCCTCTCCTGCAGTCTTCGTCTAAATTTTGTAAGGTCCCTCTTTATCTTCTGCCTTGTTCGGTCAGTTTCGAATTCTGAAGCTAGATCATTGGCATCGGCCTCTCCGTCCTTATTCATATTTACAGAGGGGGACCTCATCAATAAACCAATCTTTGTTACAGCAGATAACCGGCTGAAGTATCGAGCGATTTGCTGCTGTATCAACCTGTCAGTCTTAGACAACATTTATGGCTGGTGTTGTCTCTTAAACTCTCTCGATATTTGGGAGATCACATTAGAGGCGGTTGCCTTACTAGTTTCCTCCCTTGCCCAGCACACGTCTAGGAGATAATTCCCTGCTTTCTGAGAAAAGGTGACTGTTTTTGTGTTTTCCAAAGAGCCCATCCAAAGTCCTTTTGGCTAGTTAGGGATTGTTCGACAGAATTTTTACCTGAGGTCCGACCTCGAACGTAGCAGTCCCTTATAGAATGGCAAGCCGGTAATAGTCCATTTCCTCTTGATCTTTCCCAGGCGGAATTTTTTTGTCGGCTTCACTGTGTTTGTCTTTGTCAGGGCACATTTGGATGGCAGCCAATGACTGAAACGTCTTGATACATCCTTCTTTTAGCACGAATATCTCGTTTTCTTGTTCCGTCTATGACGGATTGGGTATAGTTCTCACGATGACCTGCGTTCAGAAATCTGTGCGCGTTGCTGATAACCACCCGCTTCTACGACTAGTTTGTTGAAGGTTTCTAATGTGATGAGCCTAGTGAGACCCTGAGGTGCTTCAAACTGTGCCAGTTGGTCTGCGCTATAAACTTGTCGCAGTTCTTAAGTCAGACGGAGGATCGCCCACCTCTATCTATGTGAGCGCCTCTATAGTACCTGCATATCCCTAACAATCATATGATATAAAGTTCATCTCAGTCACAAATCACCAGTTAGGAAAACTGATGTTCAGATAAGCGCTCTTCTTGCCCTTCTTCCTTATTCATTGTCGACTCTAAGATAGCAGTTACAGTACGCGTTCTATTTAGGTTTACATTCACCTTGCCGCCACTAGAAAGACTCGCCACCAGCTTTGATTTCTTCTGCCATCTGCAGATTCATCTCTCTCTCACTTTATGTCTCCGATTTTTATGAGGAGGAAACTGGCATTTACGAACCCGAAGGTCTGAACCTCACACCAAGTTGTGCACGATATTTGAGGTACATCGTGAAATCACGGCCTTCGTAATCTCCAAATAAGCCAATACGCGCTAGAATAGGCTCCACCTCGGACGAAACGCATGTTTGGGATACATCGAGGTCTCTAAAATGTTTTTTTTTTAAGCTGTATACCCACGAATTTAGAGGTATGAGATGTTGCCGTCCCTGGCCAGCGCGAGAAAAGTAACATTTGGTTCTACAGTTAGTTGCAAATGAAGAAGACAACTGCACCATCTTGACTTTATCAATTCGAGTGTTAGATTGAATTGAGGGCTTTTTAGACACTCGATTTCTTATATGGCATCACTATGAAGACGTAATACAACTGATACACCTACACTGCATAGGATTAACAATGTCTGTTGCGCTGTTGCGAGAAGGAGGAAAATATGACCGGAAGTGTACGCTCTTTTTAAAAAGAGTTTCAGAGACGTTTCAGAGATGTCTATCTTTGATCGGCTGTCACAAAAAAATAACCCCCACCTTAATTTACAAGGAAAAATGAACTTACCAACTCCTTGTTGAAAAAAATTGGAATTCATTTGACCGATACGCCGGTTGTTTCAATTTTTCTTTTCCTCGGGCTGCTATGAAACAGTTCATAAATTGACTAATGAATAAAGTGTTTTGAAATACCGTTCAGGATTTTGCTTTTTTTTTCTGCGTGTAAATCAAGAGTAGACAAAGTTTTTAAACATTTGACTAGATTTTCATGGAGTTCACCTGGATAATTTTCGTCGGCCAGAGTCAAGACGCGCCAAGCTAAGCGACATCGCCCTCCAGTAAAAAAAATTTCCAAAGAATAAACGTGGCGAGCGTGAGGAAACGCACATTTTTTTCATCATTGTCATCAAAGCCCGATGATGTACCTAAATTGGTACTTACGGTATGACAGGGTGAGCTTTTCGAGTTTCCGTTCAGTTTTTTTGTATTGTTTTGTTTTGTCTTTTTTTTTCTTCTGGTCTGTAATGATATCAATGGTTTCAGGTTCTTTTCTCAGAATTGAGCTACAGTAATAGTATGCTTCTTTGTGTTGTTGCCTTCAGGAGCCACTGCTTGTATTGAATTGAAGAGATTTGAAGAAGCAATCACTTGGTGTGATAAGGGACTAGCTGTATCCTTTGAAAGAATCTTTCATTTTTAACCGTGGGTATAATGGAAAAAAGTTTCCAGCTCATATACTTTCAAGGGAGAAAATACAAAGAAGGGTATTAATTACGATGGGAACTTGTCAGCTCATATACTTTAAGTGTGTGTGATTAAAAACATAGGAGAAGTTATTACCTCATGACTTATTAATGAAATTAATCCTTTTTAGCCAATTTGACTTAGTTCTACTATCCATGCCAATAACTGGTACATTAGTTTAAATAACCCTTTAATTTCCCAGCACAAATTTGTAATTATCCTTATTGTCAACCATACAATTCTTGTAATGTTAGTACAGAGAATTCAGTATTGCATCAACTAACTATTTTTAAATTGATATATTTTTTTTTACTCTCAACGCTTGATTGATATTGTATTGCTATTGTAAGGAGAAATTCTCTTTTGGTCACTCACGGGAGTTAAAGGGTTAGAAGACTAATATTCATCCAGTTTATACATAGTACTTGGGTAGATGATCTCTCTAAAACAAGCCAGAACAAAAAGCTCTTAAATGTTTACATATCTTATGCAGATTTTCTTGCCTTCGACCTTTTGCCTCTACTTAGAGACTCAGAAACTTTCGTTGTGCTTTCCTATGGACAAATAAAAGTTTTAAAGATATGTATTTATTTTATGTATTTTTGTTTTTTCCACATTTTTACACACCCTTAACATAAAAAAGATTGACAAAAACAATAGGATCTTGTCGTCATTAAGACTTCAGGCTGTCAGTGAAGTGGGAAATAAGTCAATGGAGGAAAAAGATCCTATTAGTCATGACCACGGTAGTGCAAGTTCAGGTGATGTCAAGAAAGTCATAGATGTCTATAATCAGGGAAAAGAAGCCATAGAGTACCTCAACCTATATCTTAAAAAAGCTAAAGAAGTAGGAGACAAGCATGGGGAGGGTAACGCTTATGGCAGTCTTGGCAATGCTTATCACCGTCTGGGTGATTTCAAAAAAGCCATAGAGTACCACAACCTACATCTTAAAATAGCTAAAGAAGTAGGAGACAAGCATGGGGAGGGTAACGCTTATGGCAATCTTGGCAATGCTTATCACAGTCTGGGTGATTTCAAAAAAGCCATAGAGTACCACAACCTACATCTTAAAATAGCTAAAGAAGTAGGAGACAAGCATGGGGAGGGTAACGCTTATGGCAGTCTTGGCAATGCTTATCACAGTCTGGGTGATTTAAAAAAAGCCATAGAGTACCCCAACCTACATCTTAAAATAGCTAAAGAAGTAGGAGACAAGAATGGGGAGGGTAACGCTTATGGCAGTCTTGGCAATGCTTATTTTAGTCTGGGTGATTTCAAAAAAGCCATAGAGTACCACAACCTACATCTTAAAATCGCTAAAGAAGTAGGAGACAAGCATGGGGAGGGTAACGCTTATGGCAGTCTTGGCAATGCTTATCACCGTCTGGGTGATTTCAAAAAAGCCATAGAGTACCACAACCTACATCTTAAAAAAGCCAAAGAAGTAGGAGACAAGCATGGGGAGGGTGCTTCTTATGGCAATCTTGGCAATGCTTATCACAGTCTGGGTGATTTAAAAAAAGCCATAGAGTACCCCAACCTACATCTTAAAATAGCTAAAGAAGTAGGAGACAAGAATGGGGAGGGTAACGCTTATGGCAGTCTTGGCAATGCTTATTTTAGTCTGGGTGATTTCAAAAAAGCCATAGAGTACCACAACTTAGATCTTAAAATAGCTAAAGAAGTAGGAGACAAATCCTCGGAGGCAATAGCCTACTGTTCATTAGGATTGGTTTTTGAGTTACAAGGTAGACTGCCAAAAGCCGTTGAACATTACCAAGCTAGCATAAACTTATTCAATTCCTTGAGAGTACTTCTAATATCTAAAGATGAGTGGAAAGTTAATTTTCGAAATCAGCACCAAGTGGCGTATACGGGTTTGTGGAGAGTTCTCGTAGAACAAGGTAATGTAGATGAAGCCTTATTTGTTGCTGAGAAAGGACGAGCTCAAGCTCTGACCGACCTCATGGAATCCAGTTTTTGTGGTGGAACAAGTCACCACAAGGGAGAAGATGAAGATTGCGCAGTTTTAAAAAACGTTCCATCAAACACTGTCTTTCAGGCCGTGGACAAAGCTAACGTCAATCTTTGGGTTGTGTCCGAAGGAAAACAAGTTCAGTTAAGACAAAGTAAACTCAAAGGTTTTGTTTCAGAGAATAGTGGATCTAGCCTGTCCTTTGAGTCGTTCATGCTCGGTGTCTATACACAACTTGGTGTTCGTTCTAATGTGAGATGCGAGAACCGATCTTTAGATACTTTGAGGGAGGGCCGTTCAAAAGTGGATGAGAAAACCAAAGAAGCCAAGCCTCAACCTCACATCCAACGAGACGGATGCTTGAGCACTTTGTATGATATCGTTATGAAGCCGGTGGCAGACTTGATTGAAGGGGATGAGCTACTCATTATTCCTGATGGACCCCTGTGGATCGCTCCTTACGCTGCATTGAAGGATGGCAATTCTAAATACCTGTGTGAATCGTTCACAATCCGAGTCGCTCCATCGTTAGCAAGTCTTAGACTCATTGCCGATTGCCCAGATGATTATCACAAAAGCAGTGGTGCGTTACTTGTAGGAGATCCGTGGGTATCCGAGGTTACTAACAGCGAGGGAAAGAAAGTCTTGGAGCAGCTTGAGTATGCTAAAAAAGAAGTAGAAATGATCGGAAAAATTCTGAATATCACGCCAATCACCGGCAGTCAGGCCACGAAACGTGAGGTGTTGAAAAGACTCAGTTCCGTTTCCCTAGTTCACTTTGCGGCACACGGATGTATGGAAACTGGCGAAATTGCTCTTACACCTGACCCACACCGAATATCTACTGTGCCAACGGAGGAGGATTACATTTTAACAATTGGAGATGTGTTGAATGCTCAACTTCGGGCCAAACTTGTTGTGCTTAGTTACTGCCACAGCGGCTGGGGCGAGATCAAAGCTGAAGGTGTGGTTGGCATTGCGCGCGCTTTTATGGGGGCTGGTGCTCGGTCTATTGTGGCGTCCCTGTGGGCGATTGATGACGAGGCTAAACTTGAGTTCATGAAACACTTTTATCAACAACTTGCAGGAGGTAAACCAGCAAGCGAGTCACTGAACCTGGCCATGAAAAGCCTCAGAGAATCAGACAAGTTCTGCGACATCAAACACTGGGCGCCCTTTTTGCTGATTGGAGATGACGTCACTCTTGACTTCATAGCAAAGGAAAGAGAAAATTTGAATATGAAATCACGTAAATGAAAACTTTTTATTTCATCTCAAAATTAATGACGCAGGAACTTGGAAGGTTTAAATGCTTCTTTATTTTGGCGCTTTTTGGCTATTTTTCATTACTTTTCATTTTTTTGTTAAATGGAACTTGAGATGTGTGACTTTACTTTGATGAAGAAATAAAACAGACTATTTCAGTACATTTTGTTCAGTGGAATTGCTATTTTTTTACCTTTACAAATTTAGATGCTTCCGAAGAGAACAAGATGCAACAAGGCTTCTGCTGTTAATGCCTGAAGTTGTTGAAGGCGACTACGAGGTTTTCGTTTCGCCAAAATGACACTCAGATCTATCCCTTTATTGCAATCAGTTATGTGTGAAATAATTTAAAGGTTTTTTTTCTTGTACACAACCAGGAGCTTGTCCACCGGGTTTTAATTACGTTGATACTCTAAACTTTTGATAAGAAAAGAAACAGTTTGTCATTTGTAAAAGGTGGCGAAATTTTAATTTCAAAAATGTGATTTGCAAAATTCGCAGCCATATGTGAATTGATCTTAATGGTTTTTCTACGTCATAAATTACTTTGTTGCAATTTGCAATTATCTTTACAAAAAAATTGATTATTATTTTCAACTTTTTTTCAACCATTTTAATGCTATCTAATTCCATCAGTGCCAAGATTGCCATTCTAAGCTTAATTTGAAGAAGTAATCATCAGAGATGATGTTGTTGAATTTACTGACCATATGTTAGAGACATAAGACCTACTCTCAGGGGTGTGGCCAGCCTCTAGTCCCGTGGGCCCGGCCTACAATTGTTTTCCGCCCGCTTGACTTTTCTAATATGACTCTTACAAATGTTGAAACAAAAATTGAAATTTCTCAGGAAAAAGGCCTACAACAAGTCAAAGAGCTGGCTACAACGGCCTGCTTTCAATCAAACGAGTTTGATCAATTTTAGTCCATTTTATCAAACACTAATCAGTTTCTTTTAGAGAACGACGACAGAGACAAATTGTCCATGCAATCTAAACAAGGAAATAACGAAGCTGAGTTTACTTTAACTGAAGTTTCCATTGCTGTGACTTTTAATGTAGGTGACATGGAATTTGTTGTTTTCATTAGGAAAATATTTACGCCAATAAATTAGGGAAACACTTGAAGTAAGCCATGTAGTCCTCAATTGGAATTATTTTTGTGAAAATGTTCATGAATAAATGTAAATCTAGGCCGTAGTTAAAAAGGTTCAGGGCTTCAGGATAAAACTTGCATTTTTTTGAAAATTTCCTGTTCAAATTTTTTTTATGGCTTTAAATTTACCTTAGTATAATTTGGAGATGTCTGATGATATCTTTCTTAGATTTAAGAATTTATACTTAGGTATTTAGAGCACGCTTTGTAATTAGAACCCGTTATGTGGTCAAAAGTTTAAGGTATACTGTATCACAGCTGTTTTAAAAGAAATTTTTGTAAAATCGATGTTAGTTTTTGACAGATTTTCATAACTACCATTGGTATATGCTGCTATAAAATGTAATAGTTAACCTTGCACATGGTTGAATATGATGTAACGTGGGATTTTAAAAACAAGCCGGGACAATTTCGACTAAACATTCTTTTTATAATGTTAGTGTATTTGGTGTGAATTTTTTTGATGCTATTTGTATTTAAAGTTGAAGCTATTTGTTCATTTACCTTAGTTTTTATTCATTAACTCATTAACTCCCAAGTTGTGAAGAAAAATTCTCCCAACTGATAAGAATGTGTTTCTTTGTTGCTTCATTCTGAGAATTCGATGAAACATAACGTTTCTAGTGAAAAATAATCCGCTAGTTTAGATTTTCTCTAATTCTTATTGACACCATGTTTATCGGTGCATTAATTTTGCGAGGAGAATTTAAGTTACGATCAATCTTGGGAATAAATGGGTTCATTTTAGTGTCTCCGTTTAGCGCGTACTTTACTTAATGCCTTGAACAATTTAATGCCGTTTGTATTGTACTTTTTTTTACTTTTGTGTAAGAGAAATAGAGAGTGTATAAAATACAAAAACTGGGTCTATTTTCATTGTCTGTCTCCATATTCTAAGGATTAGCGTGAGATGCAGGGAGAACAGATCCTACGGGGACTTCAATGCTTGTTTTGACCCGCGCGCGCCAAGTTGATAATCTTTGCAGCTGACAGTGTACTGACATTCCATGTTTCAAGCCCCCACCCACTTAACAAACGCTCGTCGACTCTTCGATTGTGTCTCTTTCACTGTCTACCGTTTTCCATATTGTTGCACGATTTTGAAAGCCGACGGACGTGTTCATACTGTTACCTGTGTGCGCCCTTTTTACCTTTTTACACCTTTTCGCATTTGTGCATCTGATTTTTCTCCTTCCTTTCGTTCCTTCCCTTTTTTTCACCGTACTTTTCCTTTATTCTCATTTTTACGCGCACTTCTTTCATCGCCCTCAACTTTATTCTTCTACGCGCTTCATTAGACGCGACTATCTCCTTGTCTGTTTCAGTTTTCATTCGTCTCAATCCTCGCGCAACGTCAGGTCTCTTACAACTCATATACCTCCTTACTTCCCCAGAGTAGTTATGCTTAATTTGTTCACTTTAGGATGGTGTCCTCTTAGCATCATGTCTAGTAAAATCTTAGCTTTCCTTTGGACTCATTCCCAGTCCACAGGGGGTCTCAATTTTAAGTCTCACTTGCCAGTGTTTGCTCTCCTCGGTCCTCTCATCACAGTAGCAGCTATAAAACGAAAGAGCTCCCTCCAAGTCTCTGCGACATAATCGATGCATTTTGTTGGAAACGAGTCCTTCAATGTCCAAATTAAGGCTTCTTCTATCATCTGATTGGGAATGGATCAAACTCTCGCCCAGGGTCCACCTACATCGCGAGTCCAAGATGGCAGCAGGCCAATCCACAGACTTCTCCGAGTCGGTAGCCGTCATCTTGGATGTAGACGCAGAGAGGACCTTGAAAAAGTGTTTTGACAAGACAATAATCAAGAAATGTTAAGTTATTGCAATGCTTCCTAAGAGGTAGTCGATAATAACCCGAGAGATTCATTAGGAGCAAACACGTTCCGTCGATTATTGGACTCCATGTCTCCTTACGTTGTAGAACAAACTCCTCGAATACGTACGCCTATATGCCCCTCTCCTCCTCCCCTAAATAGCACTATACATCCCTTTATTGCAACTTTTAAAATTATACAGCACAATACAACATTATACCCCTGAGTAGCACTGTAAATCCGTAAAATGAAGCAACTGTGCAGCGCATCACAACAATATGAACCCCTAAATAGTACTATGCTTCCCTCTACTGAATTTTTTTCACCATACAGCGCTCTATAAACTATTGCTCCAATTTGGCACGAAAATAATTGTGGATATTTGTCCGCGGACATTATCTATTCAAGATGCCAAAACTGTGAGCTTCGAGGGACAATGTCCAAGGACAAATATCCGAACATATTTTCGAGCAAAATAGAGGCTATAGTGATTTTTATCCTTCAATTATTTTGCAACGCTCGTGAAAGAATCTTTATGAACAGCTCACTGAATTGAATTAAATTTGAAACGAAGACTTATAGAGGTAGACGTAAGGTTTTCGAATTGGGGAATATCGCTTGCGTGATATTCTCGGATATCACCCAGTATTAGCTGGGGGATATTTAGACACTTGCTGCGTTTACACCAAATGCGCGCGAGCAAAAATATTTGATGGATCATAAAAAGCAACAAGTACCCTAGATAGCACTATACTTCCCTCTTCCACAATTTACATCTCAATATAGCGCTATAAAACAACATGTACCCTTAAATAGTACTATACTTCTCTCTTCTGCAGTTTACATCACTATACAGCGCTATACAACAATATGTACCCCTAGATACCACTATGCTTCACTCTTCTGAACTCTACATCACGATACAGCGCTATACAACAATATCTACCCCTACATAGCATTATACTCCTCGCTACTACAGTTTACATAACTATACAGCTCTATACAACGATATTTACCTCTAAGTAACCTTGGTCGGCATAACAGAATACATACATCGAAATTTTCCATACTTTGTGTCTTTCTCCAAGGTTCATTAAATACTCGATGAAAACCTTTGCGTCGTTCAAAGAAAACGCAGCATTTTCCAGCGCAGTCGTGACTCGTTCGACGTGAGGACACAGAGATGGCGATTTGATTAAGCCTTTAAATTTCAAACTCTTAAAGGCGGGAAATATTTCTGAAACAAAATCATTCACGAACATCACTATTAATTCTGAATAATGTAAATTCGATTCACTTTTACTTTAGATAATAAATTTTACTCCCATTTTCCAATCATACAAAGAAATCAATACACTAAGCAATGCCTTCAACAAAACACAATTACACAGTTGTAAATCTCCATCCTCATCCTCAGTAGAACTATGCTATCACAAAGGTGGAATAATCGCTGAAGAATAACCGCGCTTAAGACCTTCCTATATACCAAGGAATTCGTGCCACTGGATTCGACATGTGCCAGTAACCTACTTTCGCATTTAACGTGACGTTCAGCCAAAATCAGCAAACTGTTTCTTTTTTTCTTCATTTTAAACGATTCCAATCCTAATAGTGGTATCATATTTGCATAAGAAAGCTGATGTCAACTCGAGACTCTGCATTAATTTTTTTTTGATGAAATGAAACACAACAAACCAGAGATATCACGTACTTAAAACACTAACCGTTTAAACATTTTCTTCCACATGACGCTCTTAACGGGCTCAACGAGCTGCCAAAATTCTCTTCAAATCCGTTTTCGTTCGTGTGATAGCTTGACTTCTATTTCGATTTGACAGTTCAGTTCGACAGTTTGACTTTTAAACCTTAAATGAAGATTAGTAGACACCAGCTGAATAGATTTATGAATTTGCGTAACGGCGAATGAACGCATTAAAATCAAAATTGATTTTCTTTAAGCTCAGCTCACTGAACTACAAGTCTGCTGTCAGATGATTAACGTGGACGCTAT